TCTCTCTTCCTTCTTCCTGTTTCCCCAATTCTCCTCTCTCTTTGTCCTGCCTATACTTCCTGCCTGGTCACTGACCATCAGTGTTTTATTTATATAGAGTGATATCCATAGCAGACTAGAGCAAGGTACAATTGGACAAAACATAGAGAACAGGTACAGTGAATGCTCTGCATCAAAGACTTGGGGAACATCATGGAAAAGGGTCTGGACAGATTACAGAAGCCAGGAACCAAAGCATTTGCTGTGGGGCAGTGTCTTTGTGTATGTGGCACAAAAGGTAAATCCGTGAAATCTGAAGAATATGGTTGTCTATAGAAGACCTGAAAAGGGCAAACTACAATGCAGGAAAGTGGATGGGAAAAGGGCCAGAAAGCCCCACCTGTAGACGAAGACTTACAGGCTATTAATAACTGCTGTGAGAGGAAGAAGCAGCGTGGTTCAAGGATTATGGCCCTCATAGGTGATCAAATCCCATGGGGTCAGGCCTAAACATGTATTGGAGAAACACTGAATGAACCCTGTGGGTTGAGTTTATAATTTTTGTGTAATAATAATAATTAAAGAATAAGAGGCAATGGTTTTGAGAAGGAGATGGAGCACAAGAGAAGAGATAGAGAAAGAAGAGTTAGGGAGCAAATGATGCAAATATAGTACTCACATATGGAAATCTCCACATAAGTAAATATATACATACACTAAAAACAAAGCTGAAAAACAGTTGCTGTTTTCATAGGACAGTTTTTAACCCAGCATCATTTATAAATAATTACTTATTCTGAGTCACAAACAGCATTATTTTATATCTGAAGTTCGTATGTTCACATGTCATTGTCTAACTGATTAAGCGCTAGTCTTTTGCAGTACCTCCTCTATCAAGTCATAGATTGATCTGGCCTATTATAATTTCAATATTGAAGAATTGTATGATTTTATTTGACTGAGTTGATGATGTGTAGTACATGGTATATTAATTTGCAAATATGTCTAGAGTCTTGTCCCTATAATCTATGAATGTTACCTCAAGTGTAAAAGTAAAATTTGCAGTGTAGTTAAGGATCTTGAGATGAGAGGTTTTCTTGGGTATTCTGGATGAGTAGTTGTGAACACTATGGTTATTAGGAAGAAGAAAGCAAACTCAAATCAGTAAAAGGAGATTTGACTAAGCAAGATTTACAAACTGACAAAGAGCAGAAAGCTAAGGCATGAAGTTGTCCTGTACTAACTGAAAACATTGGCACACACCTTTAATTCCAGAACTGGGGGGCGACGCAGAGGCAGGCATGTCCTTGTGAGTTTGAGGGAATCCTGGTCTACATAGTCAGTTCCAGGACAGGCAGAATACACAGAGAAACTCTGTCTCAAAAGAGAAAAGAAAAGAAAAGAAGAAAAAGAAAAGAATAGGAAAGAAATATATTCTCATTGAGTGTCCAGAAGAAATTCAAATAGCACTTTAATTCAGCCCTAATAGACTCATTTCAGACACCTGCATCAATGACACTAAGACTGCAAAGCTAATTCTTGTAGCTTTGAACCATTACATTCTTAATGCTCCAGAGTAAATTGAAAAGCAATACAGGTCATTGCAGTGTTTTGTAATGGGAAATGATATTATTTTACTTACGTTTTAGCAATAGCAATTCTTGAGGGACATAGTAGCAGTAATTTGGTGATTGTTGTAATAACAGAAACTATGATATTCAAGGTAAATATTGAACCTTGACATTTGAGTGCGCAACAGAAGCATGCATATGTCTTTAAACTTCTGCCTCCATAATTTCAGAAGAGAAGAAACCTCTGCTCTTTCCATGAATTAATAAGATCTTATCCCAATGTGGGATTCTCTATACCTGGAAAAAAAATAAAAGGAGGCAGAGGGAAAGTAAAGGACCATATCTTGCAAAATGCCCCTCAGTTTCCTGTCCTTAGAGTCTAAAACTTCTATTATCTCCACAACTGTCCACACTTTATCAAAATATACATGAATACACAATTTCCCTATTGAGGTCTTCATTTCTGAAGCCTCTCATACCAGGGAAAAATACACAAACTAAATTTGAATGCTTCCTTTTTTTTTAAACACATAAAAAGGCTTTATTTAAAGCAGGGGAGCCAGAATTTGATCAAACAAGCCAAATCCCATGTCATCATCTGACTCCTAGGACTCCTCCTTTTTCTCCTCGTCTTTCTTCTCCTCTGCTGCAGCAGGGGCAGAACCAGCAGCAGGAGCTGCAGAGCCAGGGGCAGCAGAAACAGCCACATTCCCACCAGCAGGCACACTGGCAAGTCTGCCAACGCCCTGGGTGATGACATACTCAATGTTATTTCCATTCAGTTCTCTGATGACCTTGTTGAGCCAGTAATCGTCCACCTTGATAACCATGCTGTCTAGTGTCTTCTTTGTGTCTTTGGCGCTAGGAGAGGAGTTGCCCCCAAGGGCAGCAAGCAAATAAGAGGCGACATAGCGCATGTGGGCTGCTGCAGACCGGCCTCATGCGTGTGACCTCGGTGATGACAGGCAGCAAAAGGCACTCCCTTTTGTTAATATGCCTTTTGTAATGAGTATCTCAGTCATGGAGTTTGCTATATAGACAATTTTTTAAAAAAAGGATTTTTCTTTTCTCCTTTACATAGTACAAGAGAGGTTATAGTTTAGATGGGGCCACAAACTGGTAGAGGTAGTAAATGACTATGTGGTAAATATCCTGAAAGGAAGCCTTCCATTTTCCTGGATAAGTAGGAAGTGAACTTTAACAGAGATAGAGATGAAAATCTAACACTATTAACAATCAACACCATTGAGAGAATGATGATACAATTAACAGGTTAATCTGAGAAAATTCAAGTACTCATTATATTAGACTGCCTCTCTGTTTCTCTGTCTCTTTCTGTGTCAC